ACTGCTTTAAAATAATACTGAGTTAGGCCCCAATTGTCCTAGTTAATTTGGACTGAAAATAATTTCAATTCTGATGACAGAGAAAATTCTGAGTCAGTTTCTCAAAGTATTGAAGTTAATGGCAAACTCTTTTCATCTTGGTCATTTTGTGATGTGCAGCTAATTCCTGACATGCAACTTGCACAACGTACTGTTGATGAGCCTTCGGGGCACATTCGACAATCGAGGGCAATTTCTTTTGCATGCTTAATGTATTTACATTCCTCCCCTCTCTGTGAAAAATAAAGATCGAGAGAAGTACCGTTGGCCTTCAAGAACAAGCAGCACATCTCACTGTCACGTTAAGACAACTTTTGTTTAGCAGACTACAACTCTGGGTTTTGGTTTGAGTTACTGATTGAAATCCAGCGCAACAAATTCTTACCGTACTCATTGTTAGCGCAGGCATAAAACGTTCAGAAGCATTAAAGGCTGCTCAGGCACACCAGAGCTCTTTCCAACAAGACAAATTACAGCTATTATTTTGTACCAATGAACTGTAACCATCTTGAGTTCCCTGCACTGGAAGGAGAATTTGTGATAATGAACTCTTCTCTTGTCTACCTTACCTTCTAGCCTGTGACAGTCAGGGTACTTCTTTGGTAGACAAGGGGAAATTCCTCATGTCAGCTTTGCTCATATGAATTTATTTAACAAAATACATTTTAAAAAATCAGTCTTCTAATCAGACAATATGTTTATGATGATTAATGCTCAAGTAGAGTTGCTTGCCACAGATGTCTAAAAATAATGCGATTTTAAAAATAACATTTCCCACACCAGTTAACACTTGGACTTCAGAAACAGGGAATAAAGTCTGAAAGCACCACTCGCCCTTTGCAGAGCAGAGAAAGATTTAACTAAAGTAGTTGCTGCCTTTAGTTTCTTGATCATTTTTTTGAATCGGTTTCACCTCTGGCTTTCTGTGCTAGCATGAAGCTGACTCCTCTGCAATCTCTTAGACTTGTTCAGTGCTTAAGCCCCACCCGGGTGCGAGCAGCTTGCAGTTTTCATTGGAACTAGCAGGAGGTGACGCTGGATGAAAGCAAGGATAATCCTCTCAGCATGTAATTCAGAAGCAATTTTAAGCAGGTCTCCAAAGATGAAATCAGCTGAAGAAATGGATCATCTAGAGGTTGGTCCTGTGCTATTCAGTGTTTAAAAGTCTATCTGCACTGCCTCTCCCACTTGATCTGTGAAGCAGGTGTGCAGTGCTCAGCGTAGGTCCTGAACAGCGCTGTCCCTGTGTGCATGCAGGCTGCGGAGGCAGCCGTGCCCACCCCACCTCAGCAGCCCCTTGCTTACCAGGCTAAGGTTCTGCTTTTCTGGTGGAAGGGTTATATGGTAGCCTCCTGAGGGAAGAAATGGCAGAAAACTCCTTTTTGTTTCTGACAGCCACCTGCTCATACATTCCCATCAGCACATTTGTCAGTGCACAGCACGAGGGATGGGGTTTACTGGTCCCCACTTCCTCCAGCACAGCACAGGAACACAGTTCTCTGCCACACTGCCGCTAAGCAAGTGCTACAGCTACCCGAAAGGGAGGGGAAGCAGCATCCAAGGCAGTTGGCCTCTCAGATGCTCCCTAAGAGCACAATGCTTACTGATCATTATCACAGAATATCTCAAGTTGGAAAGAACTTCTAAGAATCAGTAAGTCCAACTCCCTGCTCCTTGCAGGACTACCTAAAACTAAATCGTACGACTAAGATCATCATCCAGATGCTCCTTGAACTCTAATAGGTTTCATGCTGTGACCATTTCCTTGGGGAGCCTGTTATCGATACTAAGGCAAAATGAACAGGTTAGGCAAACACCCTCCAACTTAGTGCCTTAAAAATTACTGTAGAAAGGAAAAATACGTGCAGATACTTACGAGATACCGTGCCCATGTGTTTAAACTTGTGTGTTCTAGACTGTGGAAGACAAAGAGGCAGGAGCAGTGTGGAAAAATAACAGAAATTGGGGGGGAATGGGAGAATATTATCCCCCAAAGTTCAGTTTACGTCTTAACATGAGCTATAATATTAGAGCAGCCTTGAGATAAGACACAGTTGCTGCTCCCAGGAACAGAATGCACTTGGGAATGGACAAGGCCTGCTTCTAGTTGGACAGAATGTGCAATATCTGTGATGTGGGGAACAGAGTGGTACGGAGGTAACACGGCTCATCCCTGTTATCATGGATAAAGAACGTCCGGCAAAGATAACCACATATTTACTATCAAGGAAGATGGATCACAACTACTACCTCAGCAATGATGGTGAAATCATGTTCTGAAGCTGAACTTTGCTCATTATAACATCAATATAATACCAAAACACACCTCCACCTCACAAGCTACCCGCCTCCGGGCTGCACAAAAGTATGTAAGACTAGAGTCACTCAAGCCCAACCTAAAAGTAAAGAAATAGTATAAAATGGTGAAAGAGAAGGAGGATGTTACGGACAACACCTCCATCGAAACGTCTGGGATCAGTCGACGGGCTGGACCTCTCTTCTCACCCCCACAGGGACGCCTGTTGGGTAAGAGCTCTGTGTTATGCGCACTTAGTTACTAACACCTTGCTAGCTTTTGAGTATCATCACTGATCAGTTCTAGTTTTACATTATTCTAAACCAAATCTGTTTTCCAGTCAGTCCCTATCACTGACTATCTTAGAATCTGTATCCTGTAGCGAGCATAAATAATCAAATTTATCATATATACATATGAAATATAAGTTTCTGGAAACTCCGTAATCGATAAAGAGACTATAAGGGATTTGGCCCATTGCACTGCCCTGTAAAGTCCCTGAACAGGTTAGGCAAACACCCTCCAACTTAGCGGGCTGCCCAGGGTGGGCAGGGGGGTTGGGTACAAGGATCTCGTCTTTCTTGGGAAGCCAATTGGCTGATCAAACTGCTCCCTGATCTCTGTTGACCTGACCTTGTGTCATAACGTGACAAGCAGGATCAGCATGGGGAAACACTGGCTTTTGGGAAGTCATAACCATTTCCTCTGTCAGGGATCCTTGTTCATTATCTCATTTTTCCATCCTTGACTGCTCTTGATTCATCCCAGGTAGAACATAATAAAAATGAAACTTCAAGAGGCGGCAGCAAGAACATCTACAAAGAGATGATTGATGTTGGGGTTTCAGTCTCCTAGGCAAAGCAGCTGAGATCTTCTGAAACAGCAAGTTGCTCCTCTGCTTCCTCTGACTGACAACCCTATGATCCAGCTCCCACCTCTCCACCCTCTGCATTAATACTGCCCCTGTGCATTCCAACACTAGTCCACAAATCTCTACATACATTTCTCCCACATTAGTCTTTGGTGTTGGGATGTTTGGGGGAGAGGGGGAAGAAGTGTTTCATCATCTTTCGAACTCATACTTTTGCTTTGTCACACTACACTTGTAGTAGGCAGTGAAGTTCATTCAGCTTTCAAAAATCAGTAGGTAAGACCAGGCTCCTAAAAGAGGGAGCAATTTGTGCATGCGGTAACTACGCCCCCTCCACCGTTCTTGTGCTCTTCTTCGTAATGGATTTAAGTACTCATTTCCACTGTCACTGATTTAATGTTTTTTCAGGATCTCTGACAGTCACACTCACACTCTGATGAGCTACTACTGCTGTGGATTCGGGTGACAAGAACAGATGGAAGAAAAAAAAAATTCATCTTCTGGACAACTTCAGTTTTAAGGAGAGCAGTTGAGCATGAAGAAAGTCAGCGCTGTCTTACTGAGAATGAATCTGAAGGCAAACTTCATTAACACCACGCATGGGATGGTCAACTTCCTGAGAACAGCAGGAACACGACCATTAAGGATTAATGCTGCCTATGTATGTTTTACACAGGATGATAGAGTCAGTAAATTCTTCATCACTAGAGGAAGGGCCCTAGCTTCCAAAAAAACTGCCATTATGCATAAACTAGCTCTGACACAAAAATCCCCAAATACTAAACCCTTCCCTGCTAAAAAAAAGAAAAGGGGGGGAGGGGTTGGATGTGAAATAGTATTTAAAGATAAAGTGAAACAAATACTATCTAGTAATAGCCTAAATTAGCAGAGTGAATTAACAAGGGTATGAATTCAGTCACTTTTAGGGTACCATAGTACATATGCATAACATATGAAAGACTAAGCACCAAGTGACAGAGGTGGTGGTGGGTTTTTTTATTATTTTGAGGGGCTGTTTTTGTCTTTTGTTTTTGGTTGTACATGTTTGGGTTTGAACTTCAGTGGCTCCCTTTAGTCTTACAATGGAGGGGGGTATATACCACCTTTCTGAAAGACAGTCTACATCAAAGCAAGTAAATGCACATACCTAGGTAGGCAAAGACAGTGTAAAACACTAATTCAGCATTTCATTCGTTGTTCATACTTTTACAATTTATTTTGCCATTTTAAAAATGTTACATATCAATTTGAGAGGTGAAAGAATATTTGTTAAAAGTTGAAACTTTACCCTTGGTTAAAGCACAGTACAAGAAATAACCTTTAACTGAACACCATTATGTATGTTGAGGTGAACCCGAAAGCGTCAGACAGCAAGTGGACTTGCTTTATACAGGTATATCCCTTCTAAACAAAATGTTCCATGTTGTTAAACTGATTCACAACCAACACAAAAGTATTGCTCATCCACAATTTCAATGCAACTGCTTATAAACAAGAGTCAGAAAACATTCTCTCTCAGCACACCACAGAAAACTGTGGCTAAAATAAAAGCCAGACAAACAGCAAGATACATAAATCAGTAGGCAGAACATACATGCTCACACTGGAACTCACCACAGCATGAAAAAAAAAAATTTAAAAAAATAATTTTTTGCTTACAGCCTTGCCCATGAACAATCAAAGAGCAAGCATGCAGCATCCAATCCATGTTCTCTCTTCTTCATGTCCATTTACGAATACTGCAAAGCAAATATGACCTTATACCTCTTCCAAGGCAACTTGCTGTCTTTCTGAAAGGCTAATGTATTTTGTAAGGATCTAAAGATGGATTTGTGGCTGTCAAACCATCCATCTGGTTTCTAAAACTGAACATTGTTCTTTAGTTCACTGTGTTTTATATTAATAGCAAAATAAAATATTTGATTTTTAACTAGACCCACATGCAATCAAGCATGGACAAGTAGACAACATTTGCAACATTACTGGCATCATGACACAACATTCTGCATATGACTTCAAGCATCAGAGTTAGAACATCATGTCATCCAGTCCATCCTCCATAAACTTCTTGTAAATTGCCATAAACTTTGCAACAAATGCTTCCAGATGATAAATGGCTTTGCTGCCCAGTTGCAGGCGGTGTTCATAGAAGGCTGCCATCTGTGCAACTTCTCCCTTCAGTTGTCCATCACAGTTATTTAGAAGTTCAGTCAGTAGGCCCTAAATGGGGAAAAAAACAGAACAGTATTTGGAAAATTATATATATTTTTTTGTTAAGAGAATAACCTCATTTCTCTGAGAAAAGCCAAGCTATGACCAATAGTTCACTCATGAATACAACAGAAGAGGCATTCAACAACCGTTACACCACCTATTTGACAGAATTATATTCATGGAACCATGTCTTTTCAGAACCTTCTTTCAAGATGAATTCCTCATGTCAAAGTAGATGTCACCTACTGTGTTCATAGATGGAAAAGTTGTGTACTGGAACTACTTATACCTTAATAAAGAAAATAAGTTAACCTCATCTCCAAATACTATAACCTTTACTACATGCCAGCACATGGCACTGGGGAAAATTTTTACCAAGATAGCAGGTGTATTAAAATCAGCCATCCAGAGCGACCTTGACAGGCTGGAGAGATGGGCCTGTGAGAACATAATGAAGTTCAACAAGGCCAAGTGCAAGGTCCTGAACATGGGTCAGGGCAATCCTATGCACAAGTACAGGCTGGGCGGAGAATGGATTGAGAGCAGCCCTGAGGAAAAGGACTTGGGAGTGCTGGTGGATGAGAAGCTCAACATGAGCCGGCAATGTGTGCTGGCAGCCCAGAAAGCAAATCGTATCCTGGGCTGTATCAAAAGGAGCGTGGCCAGCAGGTCGAGGGAAGCGATTCTGTCCCTCTACTCAGCTCTCGTGAGAACCCACCTGGAATACTGTGTTCAGCTCTGGAGTCCCCAGCACAGAAGGACATGGAGCTACTGGAACAAGTCCAGAGGAGGGCCACGAAGATGATCAGAGGGCCGGAGCACCTCTGCTATGAAGACAGGCTGAGGAGTTGGGGCTGTTCAGCCTGGAGAAGAGAAGGCTCTGGGGTGATTTTATAGCAGCCTTCCAGTACTTAATGGGGGCCTACAGGAAAGCTGGAGAGGGACTTTTTACAAGGGTATGTAGTGACAGGACAAGGGGCAATGGATTTAAACTGAAAGAGGGCAGATTTAGGTTAGATATAAGAAAGAAATTCTTTACATTGAGGGTGGTGAGGTACTGGAACGGGTTGCCCAGAGAAGTTGTGAATGCCCCATCCCTGGAGGTGTACAAGGCCAGGTTGGATGAGGCTTTGGGCAACCTGGTGTAGTGGAGGATTTCCCGGCCCATGGCAGGGGGGTTGGAACTAAATGATCTTTGAGTCCCTTCCAACCCAAACCATTCTATGATTCTATGAAAATCACTTCCAATCTCAACAGCATCGAGCGCAAAGAGAAACAACATTAATAAATAACAAGGAAAGGGCTTATTTAAAATTTAATTACATTTGTTGATATTTATGTACATATAGACACACACAAGACAGTTTACAACAATACTTCAGTCGTTACAAAAACAAAAAATGCATTATTTTAGACCCGAGACAGCAATAAATGATTGCAAATCCAGATCTCTGTTAAAACAGTCCGGATTAAGCAAGAAGTATCTCTAGATCATTTCAAGTTTATGAAGAGGAGTGGGTACAGAACATCCACATTTGGCCTGACAACAACAGTCCTCAAACAGGGCCATGCAGGATCCACTAAGCCACCATAAGAAAAGTTATGTTTTTAACCATCCTACTACCAAAACTGTCAGAAGGCAGAAATCAGTTAATGTGAAAAGAAATCTTGTAATTATGTCTGATGGCAAAGTCCACCTAGGGTAAGTTGCAAACACTAGCTTTAATCTTTGTTTTGCTCTAGTTGTCTTCAGCATCCTTTTCACCCTCCCTAAAATAAAAACATGCACGTTCCATTTGCTATTTTTTTTCCTCCAAAGATCACTTGTGTCTTTGAAGAGGCCTGCTGGTCTAGCATCCTTCACTAAACCTCTCCACTAGGACATACCAAGTATTGAACAACAAAACTCTTACAAAAGAAAACAAACCATATCAAAATTAACCCATAAAATATGTCTATGCTTCAATACAGAAACTGGCCTGAGGAGTCTTCAGGGGGAAAAAGCATGTCCTCCTTTATTTTTACTCAGCTATGATGCTACTGTTCTCTGATCACAGAACAAGTTTTAGAAAACCATTCAACAGAGCTGTGAACAAGGAAGCCTGCAACAACAATAATCTAGGCATTTACGTTTTCCAAGCTAGAGAACAGAATCTTCCTGCCCCCAAAATCGACACAACTCGAAACTATCATGCCTAAATATATTTAGCAGTCCAGTATATCGACTGAGATCATGAATGCTATGTATCAGTGTTTGCAGGAACAAGGTCTTTAATTACTGCTTCAGAGCGATAACCTGGACTATTTTGGTTACTCCAGTGGAAAGAAACACAAGAGAAAAGTATCTTTTGGCCACTCATGTCTATTTGGAATGGACACAGCTTTTCATCAATATTTGGCTAATTTGCAATAGGTGGGTAGAGGTTTTTTGTTTGTTTGTTTTAAAAAAGCCTCAAATTAAGACTGTCATAGCGTTAATATTTACAACATATTAAGAGCTAGATAGCTGAATTACCTTCATTATAATCTCAGGAGGAATGCAGTGTGTCAGGAGTTCATAAAGCCGTCCACGGACCTCTAACAGCCTGTTGGAAAGACACCACAAAATATCAGAAGTATCTCCCCAAAGCATGCTAATGTGTTTTCACTATTTGTGAAATACGCTGCAGGCAAAAGAAAAAGTCAGCCTAAGCAAAGGGTTTTTTTCTGGTTTTGGTTTTGTCTGTTATTTTAAACCCAAAAGCATGGCACATTTCAATTCAAATGCTACATATCACCTTTCATTCAAAACAGTAAGGTAAGTTAAATGTATTCTCATTACAATGGTCTCAGTTAATCTAGAAGTTACAAGGCTACTACAATTTGTCTGAGGCTTGCCTCCCTTTAATTCCTCTTCATATCCAAATTATTATTCATGCTTAAGATTAGTGAGAAAACATCACAAAATTGATTAGAGCCGCAAGATTCGTTTACACTGTTTTCCCATGTTCATTGTGTACAAGAGTGGGTAAGATGATGAGGTGGCAGAAAGTGACACAGTTATCAATTCTCAACTTTTGATATCAGGAAGTCAGAAGCTACAGGCATTTAAATTAAATACAATAATTTAAGTGACAACTCATGTAACACATGGAACACACTAAAGGATTAGGCTCTGTTTATGTCACCAAGATGGATAAAGGAGGCATCTCCTCCAAATGTGCTTAAAAAAACCAAAGATTTCTCATTTCCAGCTCTTTTACAAAGGTACGTTATGCTAAAGATGGTGAAACAGAAGCCTTAAAACAAAAAAAAAACCACACAAATAAACACACACACACCCACACCCAACAGTACAACATGCAACTAAGCTCATGCTCATTTTTGATTACAAAGCTTCAACAGAGAAAATCAACAATTGTTTCAGTTCCTGAAGCTCATTCAGCCCCCTCAGGTAACTTTTAAAGCTCACTTCCTCTGGCTGCAAAGTATCAACGCCAGTAGAAATGCCAGAAAGTTACATGTAACTAAAGTAAAGATGCCACATTTTGAAATATAACAATTTTTAGGTTTGAGAGTACACCAAAAACATAATTTATAGCTGCAAGAAAGTGTATTCACTCACCTTTGTGGTGTCTGTTGACCGACAATAGCATTTGCAGTCTCTCTCAAATAAACTTCCCAGTCCATCTCAGGAATGTCTTGATCAGCAGTAAAAGGATACCTATATAATAATAATATTGTTAAAAAAACTAAAATCAAAGTAAATTGTCACCTATTCTAACAAGGACTCAAGTAAGTTCATCTATGTGTTTAAAAGTATAATTTACATTAATTTTCAGCCATGACTTACTGTTGTACTCTGCAGGACTCACACATAAGTAATGCTTTCCGAAGATTTCTACCAGATTTCTCTGCAAGCCTTTGAGCCAGTTCCTGAGGAAGAGTCAGGCCTTCTTTCTTACACACGCTGGACAAGACATGGCAGATCTAGACAGGAAACAGAGCAGGGAGTACAATACTTAGCAAACAGTTTAGCACCTACAAATTCTCCTGTTTGAATTTATCTAGTAAGGAGTTTTAAATAACCTATTTTTAATTCCATTTCAACATACATCTTCAATGCTGGGAGCAGGCACTCGTACAGCCAGGCATCTGCTTTGAATAGGTCCTATAATTTTTGACATGGAGTTGCAGCACAGGATCAACCTGCAGGTCGCCATGTACTTCTCCATTGTTCTTCGCAAAGCATGCTGAGCATCTTTAGTGAGTTTGTCAACTTCTGTTAACAGCACCACTAAAAAAGGATTAAAAATAGTAGGGTCTTTTTATTAATATCAAATCTTTCTAAGAAAACAAGTACTTTGACATATGAGCAATAATACCAAAATAAATGATACAAGCAGAAAAAGGCAGCATAATAAAGGTTAAGACAACTTGCGTGCTTTTCTGACTGTTTAACTTTCTGCTCCTTCACACCTTGTATTCACGTCCTGGAACATCAATTTCTTCAGAGCAGGGCCTACAACACTTCAGTGCCAAAAAACAAGCCAGGTAGGTGTAGCAGCTTTCACTTCGATCATTAGCACAGTAACTTTTTAACAGAATTTTTAAGTAAGAAATGCAAAAGAATTTGTGGCATAAAGACATATGAAAAGGCAAAAATTTTTTAAAGACTCCCCTCAATACATTCCATATTTAAAAGTCAATGTCTTAGCTTAGAAGAAAGCTGCCTTGTTATTGGAGCTGCAGTACCTTTCTGGTCTTTTAAAGAAAAAGATATTTAAAAAAATGCTTCAGAACAACCAGGAGACACCTAATATGAAGCAGCTGACCTGACCAGCTACCTTCTGCAGGTTCCTCCACAGGCAACTCGTAGATTTCAGTACTCTGAATGGTTCAGTGAGAACAGCCTGGAGGAACAAGTCAGCCCAAAACTCTTCTTCCATTTCTCTTCTGGTTATATATGCAGTCTAAGGAGGCCAGTCAGCTTACCAGATACTTTGAGGTGCATGGTATGACTGCAGCTGTAAGGATACACACCAATAACTGGGAGAACCTGTCTGTGTCTAGCAGCTTAGGTGAAATACAGTATTTGTTGAGAAGAGTGAGGAAAACGAGACAAAGTACTAAATCCATGACCATTTTCAACTATTTTCTGCTCTACTCTATCTGTCAAGGTTTCCTCTCTCCTTCAATCTCTTGTTACATAGCTCTGATTTTGCTTTCAGTTTAGTCACAGGCAGGAAAAATAAGTCAGTTGTAGTCACATATGTGTCTTGGAAAACTCGGTGAAAGCCTTCATTTTTTACCCAGTGTCCTTCTGTATGCTATGGGTAAAATACTTCTGAATTTTCTGCCTAAGATAGCTGCTTATTTGCAGCATTTTCGGGGTTGAACTAACACCTAACTTACACAGCACCATTTGCCATAATGTCATCCTGCCCCTCAACTCAATATGAAGCCTCATTAGCTCGTAACTCAACTACCACTGTAGATTATGAAACTCAGTTACAGTGTGTTTCAATGGCAGACTTGGGAAAAACCACAGCAGGA